GAGGTTCACGCCTCTGCAAGGAATTGCAAAAATGGTTCTAGTACCAGCGTCAGGCCCAGGTTGACAGGGGGGGGGGGGCTGATGAAGACCTCCGGTCCCACAACATGTCTAAAATCGCAAAATGTATCTGTGAGCTAGGACATCACCTGGAAGTGGCGCACAGGAACTCCTCAGAACCGCGAAGTGAACGGCCTCGGCCAAGAAGGTAGTTCCGAACTGGGACTCTGAACGTAGGATCGCTAACTGGGAAGTCCCGAGAGGTTGCTGATCTGATGACGCGCAGGAATATCCAAGTCCTATGCCTTCAGGAGACGCGATGGAAAGGTGCTAAGGCCAGGGAAATCGGGGAAGGTGTCAAACTCTACTACAATGGAGAAGACACCAAGCGGAACGGCGGGGCCGTAGCGGTAGTCGTATAAGAACTATGTACCCAATGTAAACAGGATCGCAGGTCTCCCTTTGAATCGCGAAAATCCTACGGGAGCCCACTCTACCGTTCTTCTTGTCATCTGCTCTCCTCATGATATGACCGGCCCATCGTAGCTTGGCGTTTGTCATGTACTCCACAGGGTCTCGGAGACGGGACATTCTGCGTAGGTCTGCGCTGCGGAGTCCGGCTCCATATTGTATTGAGGTAAATCGGTGGACCTCAAAAGACATCGCTCGAGCGCTCTGTGAGCTACAGTCAAGGTCCTTAACACATAGCGTACCGCATTAACAAGCCACAGATAAAATTGTTTACAGATAAATGATAATCTGTTTTCTCGAAACATAAAAAAGGTACGGATATCCTCGTATAACGGCGGTCCGCAATGTGTTAACGTGAGTATGCACTGCTCATTCTGCAGCACGTTCTTCGCAAAATGGGAGATTGAGAAGGTAACCTACAGCAGTGGAGGGAGATCGACGGAAATCGACCATGTGCTCATAAGAAGATCCCTCAGAAATGTGGAGGACGTCAGGGTACCCACTGACGAAGAGTGGGCTTTCTAGCACAAGCTTCACAAGCAGAGGCAATAGCTGGCCCCATCTATTTTTGCGGACAGAAGAAGAGGTTCATAGAGGTAGGAAAGACGCAGGTTGAAGTTCAGATGGCGTGCCAATCGAGGCATGGAAGGCGCTCGATTAGGGATAAGATGGCTTACTTCCTGAACAAGGTAACTGTGGAAGGAAGGATGCCGGATGCCTGGAGAACAAGCACTATCGTCCCCATCTTCAAGCAGAAGGGTGACGCGATGGACTGCTCCAACTACCGCGGATCAAGTTGACTGCGCATACCATGAAGTTGTACGAGCGACTGGTCGACTCGAAACTGCGGGAGCTGGTCCCGATCTCCCAGGAACAGTTCGGGTTCATGCCCGAAAGGTCTACAACGGATGCCATCTTCATCGCAAGGCAAGTGATGGAGAAGCGAAAAGCGCCGACCCTGCTACCTAGCCTTCCTCGACCTGGAGAAGGCGTTCGACCGTCTACCGCGACCAGTGCTTTGGAAGGCGCCAAGAGAGAGGAACACCTAAGGTCTCTGGTGAAGACGGTGGTGATGTTGCTGAGGTAGCAATACGCACTTCGCACGGATTGACAAACAAGGTGGATGTAACAGTTGCAGTGCACCAAGGATTAGCTCTAACGATAAGACCATTCCTCTTCCTTCAGACACTTGATGTATTGATGAAGGGACCCACAGAGGGGAGACGTGCGTTTCTCCTCCTGGGGTCAGGTCACCACAGTTGCGCGATCATTGAAGCTTAAGGTTAAGTTTGGGTTTAGACTTAGGTTAAGGCTTATGCTTACACATTGGCTTATGCCTAAGCCTATGATTGGGCCTAGGCTTAGTCCTAAGCTTGCTCCGAGCGAATGAACGGCGTCTCAATTTTAGGTGACCTGACCCCAGGAGGAGAAACGCTACGCACCCCCCCCCCATCCCCCTTCAAGCAAAGGTGCAGAATTGCAGAAAGTATGGCAAAAGGTAAGCTCCTTCTGATTGTCAGGTTCCCGGCCTCTGAATAATGTAAAGAGCCGAATGTGGATGGCCATAGTGAAACCTCCGCAAGAGTGGAGGACATCCAATACCTGGATCTTCCCGTTTATCACCTTACCTTCCGTCTCGCGCACCTCATACTATTATAATTATTATCAGTATAATTATTCTGTGTAATTGCAGCGAAACAAAATTTTTGCTCACGTGCACATCCTTAACATCCAAATTGCCGCATTTGCCGGGTAATGACCGGACGAATTCGTCTCCAAAACCAAGCTAAATTGAGGTCGTTATCAGTGAAGAATTTCACCAGTACTACAACCCGAAAAGTTGCTTACCGAGCCATGATAGTTGACATACAGGAAGGCAAACCCGGAATTGATCAATGCAGTTACACTTCGTCGAGGCCACCTGCAATGCAATTGCAAGATGAATACTAAAAGGACGAAGTGCAGTGTAGGTGAGCACTTGACTGACCCAGCAACTGAGACTCCGTGAGGCCCACCATGAGGGCAAACCACCAACGGTAAAGAGCTGCCCTCATTTGGCATCATGAGTACCCCCTCATATGGTGTTTCTCCTGAACTAGCAGTATTTGCAAACAGGTTTAACACATAGGAAAAAGGTTTATGAAACGAAATCAATCCAGAAAAGCTTTTTTAAGCTAGCTACAAATGAGCAATAACACACAAAATTTCTTCAACACACCTGCTCGTTGGAAATCAACTAACTGCCACGTATAATTTAAGAGATTTCTTCGTTTCTCAATGATAGAGCAGTTATCAAGTCGAGTCCAAATCATCTGGAATGTTAGTGCTTTGTGCACGGGGAAAACCAGTGTGCAGATACATCAGGCCAGCAAAATATAAAGAATCCGTTTACTGCTTCCTAACCTTTTCTTCTTGACCTCTGGCAGGAATTGTTCCGAGAAGTAAAGCAGGCGGCCGGTTCGGAGCAGAAACCACGGCAAGAATTTCGTCTTCGCACACATCCACCACCTGCCAGCTCCCATGACATTGACTATGATTCGTTAACCTAGCCACATCACCATTAGACACATCTATTGCCACCAGCTCCTGAAACCAAATAGCTTTTGATGAAACATGCATTACGTTTGGAAGTGCTATGCACCATTTTGCTTCTCCACGCAGTGCCGACGATCAGGGAGCTTCCGTCCGCAGTCCAGCACCTTTGCGGCATCTGCGTGAACGAAAGGCCCGGGAATTGACAAGGACGGTCAACTTCGTGCACAGTTGGTACAATAACGACTGGAGGAGAGCCATCGTACGGCCACGGCACCTGACACATAATATGAGTGGAAACAGGCTATGCTCACATGCAACGCGTCAAAAAATAGCGACAATAGTGAAATCGCTAACATGACATGAATGAGTCAACCCAATGCATCACCTCATAGGTAACTATTCACGCCAGTAATGGCCAATGTGGCTAATGTTGTTTTTATTCCTTAGAGGTCTTACTGAGTTGTAGAGAAGTATCATACTCACGCGGCCTCCGAACTCAAAACTATACATGTAAATATATGAGGTTTGCTTCCGAACGGTATTGAGAACAATACACTATATTTACCGAAAAAGATTGAACAGCCCTACTTTCACACACTCCACGACAGCTTGGTGAGGTCCGTCGGCAGGGCGTTGGAAGTATACTAATGTGCTCCCATCCGGAGAGAATGTTGGATTTTCAGCAGCAATATTTTCGTGACCGATAACATGAATTTTCGCTGAGCTCAGCTCAAAGTAGTACATTGCGCCTCTGAAAGCAGTAATGGGAGGGTAATAAACCAGAATGCAAAACAGCGTGAAAGCAAGTGTTGACAACCTACGGTCTGTTATTGCACGCTATTTTGCCTAATCTGAATGGTTCGTCTTGGAGACCAAAAAACACAATTCCAGCATCATCAGGTGCCCAGATTCCCTAAAAAATTAGAGGCAAAATTATTTGTTTTGGTTCAAGAAATATTCCGAAGTGAAAGTGAATAACAACAAGACATACACCGGCCAGAAGCTGTTCAAATAAGATCTGACCAAACTCACAAAGGATGGCGATATTCCAGGAGGAATTTGATCAAGCGCAGTGACTGCTCCGGAGAAAATATCGACAATACAGAGCACTGGCTGTTTTACATCACCACAAGATTCGCCCCATGATTCGTGAAGCTCGTACTTCTTCCCCTAAAAGGAGCAAATTTGTTATTTCTCATACCCCTGGTTGCACAACCGTGAAAAAAAGAAACACAGGTGCAGCGCTCAGTACGGTTCCAGAGTCGCTGAAGGTACGACGCGTGCGGGGGGGGGGGGGGAAGAACCCGTTTTCATTCCTTCCATGGCTAGACGACAGAACGTCCGCACCTGCAGCACTGTACTTCTACATCCACACTAAACAGTTCACTTTTACTCACCACTTTGCTTTCGATTATTTTTTCGTCATTATCCCACTCCAAATCCACATCGAAATATTGTGCCGCTTTGAAATTCCTCTCGGCACAATAGAGCAGATGTCCCTCACCACGAGAAGAATCTCAGTGTACCGAAACGAGCTTGGAATCACCAGCATAAGCCAGCATGTATAAGTTCTGCCGACTCAAGACTTTAGCATAAATACATCCTTAAAGATCCTATGCACCAATGTTTGAGGAAGTGATTGATTTTGCCGTGAACCTAGTTAAACACATACCAAAGTAACGACTTGTAGCACTTTGGGAAATACAAGAGTCCTCCTAGGCAAGGCTGAATTGGTCACCCTCCTCTCTAGTGAACCACACCTTCAAATGCCACTGTCCTATCCCATAGTGCAGCTGTTTAAAGCTTGCATATCCTCTTCTTCCCATTTCTCCATTTCATTTTCATATCGTTTCATTTTCGTTTTGCATTTTTGCATGCCCAGTACATTCCTACCATGGGTGTTGCTGTTTTCAACCGGAAGATTGATTGCTGCGATGGGATCGAAAAGGTTTAAACACTTATTTTTTCACCCTCCCAGCCGACCCTGCGACTGCGTGGGACTAACGCTAGGGAGAAGAAGAAGAAGACTTATTTTTCCACCTTCCCAGCCGATATTGCCTACCAAGAAAGCCTGGTATCAATTAATAATCGGAGGTAGACAGCTTGCTTGGCCAGGGATGGGATGTGATCAGGTATTCGACCGCTGAAAAATGCGCACAGTAACTGACGGTACTTGCAACCAGAGTGAACATCGCGTAGACGAAATGGTTGCAGCATTAGGACCCCTCTAGAACGAAGGTTTTGGGTGGGACCTACCCCCCCCCCTCTGCGCCCCTTCCTCCAATTTCAATACGACCTACCCGATCCTCCTCCCTGGCCGATTGGGTAAAAAAATGTGGTTGATCCCGCTTCTACGTGACACACTCCCAACACCCTTTACCATCATTTACCCACTGCCCTCATTCTCCATTTACAACCCCAGAATTCCAAATGCCGCCTTCTCTCTCAACGACCTCTCGTCAAGGAATTCTTGACCATGTTATACGTCCTATATGCCACTTCACCATCATCACCCAAGGCAACCGTGGCGTATGGCCGATTCCGAAAATTGCCTTTCCCCTGTTCAAAATGGAGTCACTTCCACTACTCTAACTCCATCCTCAAAAAGTACAACTCCAGCACTGGTAAACGGCAAAATTTCAACTACTTCTGGATTTCGATTTCGCGAAGAGAATTCGACCTCAAAAAATACCTATTCTCATATCCTCAAAAACACGACTTCATATCTCGCAAAGAACACGACTTCATTTCACTGCATACGACCTTCCTAACCACAATCACAAAACAGGAATCCCTGATCTGACCCCATCAGACAGACAGTTGATCCACTAACAGCCTCTGCTATCCACTGCTATACATTCCCCATTTTCCGTAATTTACTAAAGCCAGCCCAGGATCAGGAGAATTCACCATAAGAAACAACACTACTTGACAAATCAAAAAACTAGAAGTAAAAAAGAGAGGGACGGACAGAACAAGGCAGTGGATCGCAAAACATTGCAAAAATGCCGCTTTATGCTGACTATGCTGACTGTTTCATTCAAAATACGTCAAGCATTCCCTTCGCAAAGCAGTCGTAGTAGCTTTTTTGATGTGTATTTAGCATCAGAAACATTATTGTGGAAGGGGAGGCGACAATCCTAATGGCGAGCCAATCAGTGGTTGTGAGAGTCCGCGATCCGTCGCAGGTTTCGCTGATTTTCGCGATTTTCGCGATTGCGCGATTCACGCGACGGGTCACGGAAATCACAAGTGCCCGATCAATACTGCAAGGTGTTCTCCAATCCTGCCGCCACTTCTGCTTGATAGTGATGGCTGAATGACGACTGCTCATGATTCCACTTGTTTCATATTCAGTGTTTCAAATGTTCAAATGGGGCACTTGCAATTTTTGCGATCCGTCGCAGGTTTCGCGCAAATCGCGCAAATCGCGAAAATCAGCGAAACCTGCGACGGATCGCGGACTCTGACACCTGCCTAACTGTTTCAACACGCGGGCGGCGGGATGAGATTCGATCCGGACCTTGGTCCTTGGATCATGGGCGCGATAGGTTAGAACTACCACTTCCTCATTCACTCAAGCAAAGAAAAAGTGACAAGTGTGTAGAGTGCAGCCATACGCGGTAACTACACGAGGAGACAGTTGTTCAAGGAGAAGCATGTGCCAGAGAAAGTGCCAGAGCCGTTATTTCCTGAGCAGAAAAAAGGAGGAGATGAGAAAATTTCATTCATCATCTCAAATTTATCATCATCAAACAATGGACTAAAGAGTTTCGCAGTTAAGCAGAGATGACGTGAGCGTAACGGAAAACGAACCTGCGCCCATTCCATATATGAGTCCATGCTTCTTTTGTCCACTGAGATCAGAACACAAAACTTCAATATGCTCGGTTTGATCGAAAACCTGACAAAAATTCCTATAACAATACACGGAGGGCGTAAGCTTCGAATTTTTAAAAAGAAGTAAAAAACAAAAAAAATCAAGCATGACACCAGAATGAACGATCAAATACCCTGAGATACTGCTTTCTTTTCTTTTCCATCAGGTATGGTAATAAGCTGCGCTACCAAAGAATTGCTCGGTGAGTATGCAAGTGATTGGACCTTCAAAAGTCATCTTCTTCACGATTACCTAGCAAAATGAAGAATCCATAAAAATACTAACTCAAAATTCGTTAAAGGCATAGAATTTGTCGAGATTAAGCGCAGCTCTCCAGTAGCATTTATTTTTTCGACAACTGAAGATCTCTGAGTTTTGGTGCTTTTGTTGAGTGAAATTGCGTGATTATCCCATACAGATGAAACCTAAATTGGAGAACCAATTAAATTCTTTTCGGCGCTAAATTTAAGTAAATGACTAGTCTGACCTGTATAAACTTTCCATTTCTATGGATACGCCCTGCGGAAAGTGTTGGTACCTGTGCAAGATCACCGTAAATATCCTTTAGTTTCTCTAATGCACGGACATCAAGCTCGGCAGCGGTAGCTGAGCTCATGGTTCTATATAAAAGAGAAGATCTGGCGGCAAGAATGACGACGCGTTGCAACACCTGAAATAGCAGAAATTCCAAACATGATTCTCAGTGTATAGGAGGTCATAGAAGAATCACCCAAAATAAGTATTGAAAAGTGCACAATGACTAAAGGACATGAAGGTCTGTGAGAATGAAAAAAAAAACAGGGAGAAACCAAATTCTGTTTAGCATGAACACAATTCAAAGCGATGAGCTAGTTCTCCAAATCCATCAAATCATATTTCAAGATGAAATGCAAAGGGTAGGATTCACCGTATTCGATCGTAGTACCGGCTTCATGAGGCTCTTTTTTAGTACTCACAGTCACTCAGCGAATCCTCAAATCACCGCAGAAGTAAGCAAACCAGCCCTTTTGGCGTTTCGGCTGGGACCGTATGCTGAATGTTGGGGAGGGGATGGGGTCCCCAACGGTCGACGGTTTACTTCAACTCGGTTGGTACGATAGGAGAGTACTGACGCAAGTGGTGCAGCTGGTCCAGCAGCTCCGCCAGAAGGGCTGGTTTGCTCACCCCAGGACTAAGCCTTGGAGAGGGGACGGACCCGTCCTCTCTTTAAGGCTTAGTTCTGAGGTAAGCACCAAATTGTGGCGGTTCTAAGGACCGAGTTGAAGTGGTCCGTCCACCGTCGGGGACTCCATCCCCTCCCCAACATTCAGCATACGGTCCCAGCCGAAGCGCCAAAAGGGCTGGTTTGCTCACTTCATCACCGCACCCTCTGATGCCAAGGAGAAAGTGATAATAACGTTTGTATATATACTATGGGACCGTTAGGTCATATAGAGAAAAAGATAAATCCTTACAATGTAAAATCAGACATAATCTTATGCATATCTTCAGTTCACGCAGAAGACTAGCTCCCACCCCTAACATTTCGCGCCAATTCCACCTCAAGAGGGACGACATCACTGAACTTGGGCGCTGGCATTCAAAATTGATGTGGTTGTATTATGATATTGTTCTCACGCTACCTGGAGGAGTTTTGTCTAAATAGCTGTAGGAATTTTCTAAAAGGAGAACCTTCATCTCATAACTGAACAAATTGGGCGACAACCACATGGGCGAAGCGCTTTGCTTCTCAACAGAACGCTCCTTCTTCTCTAGCAAGCCGTATGGCTCCAATAAAAATTGAAGAGCACATCACCATACTAGACAGCTTCAATAACTATCTAGACATGCACTTTTGAGAATGCCACGAAACATGGCTCAATAATTCAAGGCACAATGCATGGTCAACGATATCCTCGACTATGGAGAGCGTCCGTGTAGCGAGAGTGATTGCCAATGCCTGTCGGGGACCGAAATCTTCGCATAGTCAGGAACTAACAGCCTTGAGGAAACTCCACAACTGAACCTATTGAAGAGGTACTGGTAGCTCATCAGACTGGGGGAAAACTCACCTTGTAGTGGCCCACCTTGAAACTCGGACAGCGAACTGTAAACTCTTCGTATTGTGCAACGGCGATGATGGGGCAAGTCATCTTATTAACTCCAGCTGCCTTTCGAAGACGCGACACATGATTAGATCCTTACAAGAATCCTCTCCTAGTAAGGTAGCATGACGCCAATTCACGGGGAGTGGTGGTGCTGCCGCAACCGGAAAGTGCGCGTTGAGGGAGCTAATGCCTTCGCTTGACCGCTAAGAGATCTCGTAAAGCGCATTCATGCGTCTACGCGCTCTCTTGTGGGCCGTATCTCTCGCGTCTTCCCTCTTTTCGCACTCCTTGCCCAATTTTCAAACTAAACAACACCACTTTGATCACGACTCGTGCCTTGAGATCCGAAATATGACCTGCTACCGAAATTCCACACGCGCGTGCGAAGATCGGACACGCTCCACACGCCCGGTGGTGCGCATGTTCCTGTCCGGTGGGCGGATCTGGTCAATTCCCCCACGTGCAATTTGTTCCAATTTTTTTTAAATGTTAACTTCCCATCTTAAAAAATCAGACCAACTGCACAAAAAAAACGTGGAAGCCCTGCCACAAACTTTTGTAAATCTTACATGTCATATATTAAGTGATTCTCAGCTCAGAGTCCAGACACAATACTCGCCCCATCATCACAGACAACATCGACATCAAATTCAAAAATGCAAACCACTTATTGGTGGAAAACAGGACTAATCCATAGCCTCTTGTCCATACTGCTTTTACAACGCGCACGCGTTTGCCTTTCTCTGTTCTCCCCGCACACTTAACATAGACAATACCTGCGCTAGTAGAAGGCACCCCCTCACCCCGACTGTGATCGCAGCCTTATACGCTGTCAACTGCCACCTGCTAACGATCATGTCAAATGATCTCAGAGAAAGAAAAGCACAACGACATATATAAGTCTTATAGCAAAATGTTTGCTGGAGTGCTGCCAGAAACCAGAATATGTCCAACATTTGAGTTGAAATTTGTTTTCTGCTTACATTCCTATGGTACTATACCACTCATCATCACCCCGCAGAACGGAAAAACTGCAGACAACCCTTTGATCAAAAACATCATATGCACAAAACAAGCCATTACAGTTGTACATTCCGAAAAAAATGACATCAAGTAGAGACACGGCGTAATCTGACAGATGGTTACTGATAAATTACGCCCCGAACTGTCCGTTAATAAAAATAACAAGTAATAACAAATTGTTAACAGTTGATATGTAAGAAAAATACATCCTTGAAATGGTAGTCGACATACCGTGACACCACTAAATCGAACACTATATCTCCTCAATCAAGGCTTTCGATTTATTCGTATTCCGATCATCACACTTAGGACAACCATCTTCCCTAAAGGCTTCAGGTAGTAGTTCCACTTCTTGTGGAATTAATGATGGTCCAGATGTAGCAGATGATGCAGTTGAATCGTCCTCACGAAAAAGTGATAGATTGAACTCTACTTTCGGTTCAGACTCCTGAAAAATATTCAGAAGAAATAGTTAATGATGACGTACAATTAGACAAAATATGGAACTCATTTAGTTGGTAAATAGACAATAATAATAATGATCAATGTGACAACAAGCTTACCGTCTCGCTGTCAAGATCATCATCACTGCAGCTACTTTCATCACTGCTGCTGGTGTCACTTTCATCAAGGTCAAATGGAACCTTATGGATATCAACGTCCAATTTCCTTGCTTCATCGACTCCTCCTTGCGTTTATCGATTCATTTGCTGCGGCCTATTTTTGGAATGAAGGAACATAATCTAAAGTGTTGAGGAGGAAACTCACGAAACGTTTACAACACTCAGATATTGCTGTTTCTAGATGGTACTACTATGGCAAAAAGGGCGGAAGTGGTGTAGTGGCAAGTGGCACGCTTACCACGCGAGCGGTCCGGGGATCAAATCCTGGGTCGTGAGTCGCCCGGGCCAACCAAGCCTTCCATCCCTGGGGTCGGTTAATTGGTACCAGACTTGTCTGGGAGGATAAAAAAAAACACTGACTTGTACATCGGCTGGCCCCCGCAAGTCTTGTTGTACGGCCACATCGGCAGTCAAAGACGATATGCCACGTCACGATGTTAACAATTTCGTGGCGTCTGAAGTGATTCGTTTTCCACTTTTTTAAAGCGTGAGAGCGCGCGAGAGGATCAAGCTTTTGTTGCAATTTTTCGAGTTGAGTACATATCACTATATGTGATAAGGGAGCAAATTTTCAGTTGTCTAGGTGACTTGTATACCAATTTAGAAATTTTTAATTTTTTTTGGTCCAATACCATATTACTTGTTCGAAACTTCAATCTATCTAAATTTCAAAAATAATAACAAAATAACTTGTATAATAACAGACTGAACAACTACAACATCAGCACTTTGTCGCAGAACCGTTTTCATCTATGACGGCTTGACACCGGCGTAGCATGGAACTCGGTTTTTTCTTGGTGGAGGTTCCCCTACGCGATCTTCAGTGGGACGGACTTTTCGAACTCGTTGTGAGCTTTTGGGCCTTCAGCTTGACTCCGAAAATCATCCTACAGATTTTTGCTCTGATTCAAGTATGGGGACTGCGATGGCATGGCAGTGGAGGAACATTGTTGTTGCGGAACCATTTCGAGAGCGGCTTTGATTTTGCGCTTGGGGTCGGAAAATGAAACACTACGGGCGACACTGCGAACATGCGGCCAGATAGCAGTCATCCATATGTTGAGGTGCGTTTTGGAATCCATTTCAGCCTCGGTCCGATGAAGGTGATCAACCCCTATGCCACAGAAGCTGCCATGCAGTATCACCGCACCCCCTGCATTCGTCACGTCAGCACATGGAACCTCGGATGATATCTGGTACCAACAGGAAGTCGCACAAACTTGACTTCATTCGTCCTAAACAGCAAAAACTTCGATTCGTTGCTCTAGATGGCTTTTTGTCACTCCTTAATAGTCCATTTCTTGTGGGCATGAGCCCAATTGAGATGCGCTTTGCCACTCTTGAGGGGGAATCAGCGGTTTCTTACTGAGCTACGTCAGAAGTGCCCAGCATCTCTCAGACAACGTCGCACGTTGTCTTCGGACGGATTTAGACCGTCTGGCGTTGAGAATCCGCGGTGAATTTCGGGTGCAGCGTGATGCGAGCCACTCCTTACAAGTCGCACAATGATTCTATTGGCGAGAGAAGAGGTCATTTTTGCTACTTCTGGGCGCTTTTTGACTTTGGCAGGTTCAATGCTCTTGAATTTCTTCCAAGTCGTCCACTGGCGCTCCTTGAACTTCGAAAATCTGCTGGGATGTTAAGCCTTTGTAGAAGCTCCGAAAGATGGCGTCACCTGGTCCTGCCACAAGCTATGAATTCCCTAATGTCTTGGAATGTTCTGAGTACTGTGTAGGCATATGAAACTGACACAAAACATCAAAAACACACGTGCTCTCAACATGGAAACTCATCGTTTATCAACAATGAAATTGGGTGCCCGCGGACAATACTCGAAAATGAAGCTCCATTTCCCCTTGAAAGGAGGCTACTGCACCGATACACTGCTATAATATGACTACCTGTGTGTGTCAACTGCTGTCGAAGTTTTACTGCGAAAGCTTGAGTTTTGAGGAAATTACGTTTAAAAAAGTGAAAACGAATACTTCACTGCACGGTACTGTACAAATGGAAGTGGAATGCGTGCCGCATCCCAAGACGGGATTGATCAACGGCAAAAGCTTTATCCTTTATCCTTAGTACTGCAATCGGACGGTGGCTTCAGCAAAGGGTAAATCAATGAGGTTGAACGAGCTGTTTTTTGAAAAGATAGCCAAAAGGTATCGATCTGACATTGCTGAGAAGAAGAATAAGTAGTGAATAGGCTGCGAGAATTAATGCAAGTTGGTAATGTCACACGAGCCACGACCATGATGATAATTGCAAAAGCATAAGGTCAAAAGTTTCTGGATTAGAATGGGATGGGGTCCCTATTGTATGAAAAAAAATTGCAGAATTGTCTATTTGAATATTCAGTAATGCAGGATACGGTATCGTCAACTGGTTATTCTTTTCTATAGCATCATTTCGGATGGTCGTAAACAATCATTGCCGATGTATCAACGAGGAGATTATTGCTCCTGGAAAGGACGCATATACTTACAAGTGGCTTACTAACACGCAGTTTGTCATAAACTCAAGCGGCATAGGATGTTACTTGTCGTAAAAATTCGCTATCAAAGGATAAAATTTCTATCACTGATAAACCTTAATGGAATCCGAATGAAGCGTTCCCTAATACCCTTCATGGGATCTATCTCGAATGTTGGAACAAAAGTTTGCAAGGCAGGGGTTTCAAAACTAGATACTGATCAGTTCAATGAACTGAAAATGAATAAAATTGCAACACTGATCAGGAAAAGATGACGGTCGAAGTGGCATATGCGATCTTCACTAATGGGTGTGTTTTTCGAATCCGATCTCGAGTCTGCTTTCCGAATGTGCCAGTCGATCTTCTGAACGGAGCCAGGTTGATGTCAGAATTTGCGAATCCAGCGATTCGCTAGCGAATCGCGGATGCGAGCGTTGCACCAGCGAATCGAGCTGTGTACCAGCGGATCGAACGATGTACCAGCGACTCGACACTGTTTGAAAGTTACTTAGGGACTTCCTTTGAATGTTGGCTTTCGCCACTGTGGGGCTCATGAGCGCATGACAGAGTGAGAGGGTATGAGAGTTCGGAAAAGTGGCGAGAGTCAACATGCAAACGAGAGGGAGTCCGCCACCTTCAAACAGTGTTGAGTCGATGGTGCATCGTTTGATCCGCTGGTACACAGCTCGATTAGCTGGTGCAACACTCGCATCCCGTTTGATTCACGAAGTCTGACATCGGCCTTATAAAGCAAAATGGAGCTGCGGTAGTGGTCCGGGCTCACGGGCAGGAGGTCACAGCACCGATTCCCTGGCGAGTGACCTAGTTAAAAACTTGACCTTAGGGGTACGTCATCTCTGGGAACACGAATTTCGCGTACGTCTGCTGCAAAAACGTCAGTTCTTCGGGCTCCATGTACAGTCATTAGGGAGTAGCGCCCAACCCTGTTAAGAACTCCTCGTTCTTTGTACGGGCAACTATAGGCGAGCGTCGATTAGGCAACATAGTTAGGAGCCTTTTTTCAACCACGTAGCGAAGGCAAAAAGTGAGAACCCGCCAGGGAATCGATCCTACGACGTCTCGCACGTGAACCCGGACTACTACCGCTGCACTACTTTCCTTCATAACTCCATTCGGAAAATCGTTTGGCAGATTTGGAAAGCAGATTCGAGATCAGCGTCCAAAAACACATCCACCAGTGTAGGTCTCTTTACATATGGCCACTTCGACCAATCATCCATTCCTGGTGAGTTACATCTTTGGACATTGAAAGCTTATGCAAGTACAAAAACTAGGCAGCATACCTTTCAATGATAGGAGACGGCTTAACTGGTTCTGTTACTAGCTTTTCAGGACGAGGATTGAGAAGTAGGAATGAATCTTGAAAAATAAACAGTTGAAAATTGTGTAGTTCTAGTAGAAACTTAACAATGAACTGACCTGGCCTCCTTTCCGATATGTTTTTAAGCGTCGTCGAATCGCGTGTGGGTTCCGAGCTCATCCTGTATAACTCCTTCCATGAAGGAAATTCGATATTTCAAATTGAAATAGGATAAAATTGAAGATTGACTCAAGCTGCACTGATAAAAATGGTCATCAAGGTCATTAAAAGATTTATTTGTCTAATCCATCAACAGATTCTGGCTCAACTGGCTGGAACCGCTCGATAAATATACAAGCAGAAAGGTTAGCAATCAATGAAGTAGTTATATTAATGAAAGGTTAACTCTAAGCTTACTTCAAGCATTGTGCTAATAATAGGAAGCGAATATCCGAGTAAACCAACAAATGACCCGAGCAAAAGTCGAAAAAGGAAACATTTCAGGAAACGAGAAAAGGAAGGCTAGCTGACAGAGAGAGGTACGGCGACATCGATAAACTCTTGTGATAAGCTTGGACCGCTGATTGGTTCGTCCCAATCCAAATGAAGTACCACTGCTGGAGCCAACCCCAGGGCTGCCAAGCTTTTGTTTTCATCGACCAGTGGTTCGCTACCTCGAACAGGATTATACAACGAGAACAATGCAGCTTGATTCGAGAGATGTTTCGCAATGTACTCACGAACCACAGACAATGGTTCATAACATCCAAATGTTCCCTGAAAACACCAAAATAAATGAAGAACTGAGAGAAAACTGTTGTCGTACCTGAAGAACATATCTGTCCGGTAGCCGAATGCGAACCAATGTGTATTTATAACTATATTGACGTAG